ATTCCAAGAGAATGTTAACAGAGAACATATCTTGTTCCATGATTTCGACACTGCTGAGGAAGATTCTGAAATGGAACATATGAAATATTTTCTTCTATCGGTAGGCCAGTCGTTTCATGAATTGTTTGTGTGCATTGCAGGATTTTACTCAATCATCCAGTTTCAGGGATGGAAAAAATTAGCTGAAACACACACATATAAATTTCTACATTAACCGTTCTGGTCAGAAGATGCTTACATGTGGTATATAAAAAGAAAAATACAATTTGTCTAGAATATCTTATTAAAATATTTCCTCCTAATTCATTTAATTTTTATTAGCTTCTTCCAAGAATAAAGCTCGAAGTATTATTAAACTTAGTTAGAGAATAAGTCCGGGATTACAATAACTGTAAAAGATAATCAATATTAGGAGATTAACATCAATGTGATTGAAATATTGAATTTAGCAGAATCACAATCCACCATAACTTCTAGCCAGTTGATAACATAGCTTCGAACCTATTTCACTCGTGTTCCTCTTAAATAATCAAAAAATTAATTTTTCCATCTGCATGCAGCTTTCACTTCCGTCTAATATACGAGTATAATATTACATTATTGAGGCTGTGAATGCATGCTGTTTCTCGGTGTTAATTTAATTGATGAAAAATACCTTCATTATTTGTTTTCAAATTTTATATTTTTTATAGAAAAAACATGAGCATATATTTTCATCTATCTGAAAATCCTTCAAAATACCACAATGTCCAGGCTATTTGACAGCCCCTTGTTAGCTTTGATGATAGTGGCACAGGAACCAGGGGAACACAAGAAGTGATTTATCCCTTTAGATTTGTGTCGAGGGAGGAAGCGGCAACGTTCGCCCTCAACTAAAACAATTCCTCTGGCGTCCAAAATAACAACGAAATTTCCACTTACAGATTCTAAGTTTACATTCGTCAAAATAAAAAAAACGAATTGTATAATATCGCTAGTTGCTCAATGTGTAAGTAATAATTGTCAATTTCAGGTTCTTATGACACTCTTTGGTTTAGAAAACTTTGATGTAATTATATTTCACATTATTTCCTTTACTGTTTCTATGAAAAAAGTTTTAAAGAAAGTTTTAAGCAGTGTGTTGACATGTTGAATAGTTTCCTATGGACTGTTTTTACATTCTGTAACCAGACGGCAGGAACGGTTCTTAAGAAGCTATCTGTGCTCTAACCACTGCGGATATCGAAACCAGATTTTTAGCGTTAATAATCCCTCGGATATACCTCTGAGCAATCAGGATCAACACCCTTAGAAACGATTATATAACTCATCTTCTTAAACTCTGAGAATGGAGTATATTTATGCCAACAAAGCTTTATAAAATATTGCAAAATTTAATTGTATTGAACTATCTGCCTAAACATCACCTGCTCTCGGAGTTAGCCACCTGGCTTTTTCGAAATAGGACCTTGAATGTAAGTTTTAACATTAAATGCTTGTATAGTGGTAGTTTACATTTGGTCCTTCAAGGCTAATAATTACACACCCATCACTGAGAAAACTAAAATTTGAAAGCACTCTTATTTTTTAACAAATCATTGATTATCTCCTAAGCCCTTGTAAAGTGTCGGCCTCCATTAATGCCAACAACAATTGATTCCACAAGCCAATTACTCTGTTATAAAAATAAAAAAGTCTTAACTAGAGCCATGTCTGTTTTCTCCAAATCTTGAACTTTTATCTTTTCGCCCGAGTATCTTCAAAATATAAAATAAAGAAGTTAGAGACCTTTATCTTATCGATAATATTGTAACTTCAATAAATTCACCTTAAACTCTTCTTTTTTTTTAAAGAGAAAATACGTTATATTAACCTCTCCTCATAACATAACCCTTCCATCCCCAGAACCATCCTAGTAGCCCTCCTTTGAACCCATTCGGCCTGGCATGTCCAGGTGGTTAGGGCGCTCGACTCGCAATCTGCGGGTCGCGGGTTCGAATCCCCGTCACACCGAACATGCTCGCCCTTTCAGCCGAGGGAGCGTTATAATGTGACGGTCAATCCCACTATTCGTTGGTAAAAGAGTAGCCCAAGAGTTGGCAGTGGGTGATGATGACTAGCTGCTTTCCCTCTAGTCTTACACGCTAAATTATGAACGGCTAGCGCAGATAGCCCTCGTGTTGCTTTGCGCGAAATTCAAAACAAACAAACTTATCGATAATATTGTAACTTCAATAAATTAACCTTAAACTCTTTTTTTTTTTAATGAGAAAATACGTTATCTTAACCTCTCCTCATAACATAACCCTTCCATCCCCAGAACCATCCTAGTAGCCCTCCTTTGAACCCATTCGGCCTGGCATGGCCAGGTGGTTAGGGCACTCGACTCGCAATCTTAGGGTCGCGAGTTCGAATTTCCGTCCCACGAAACCTGCTCGCCCTTTCAGCCCTCGTGTAGCTTTGAGCGAAATTCAAACAAACCAAACCATTGAATCTGTTCCAATAAGTCAATACCTGTTCTTAGATTAGCAGACCAAAACTGTACACACCCCAAGTGAGGCCTAACTAGCGACTTTTATAGAGATAACTACCCCTTGTACATTCTAGAATTCTTGTTAGCTTTGCTGCTAAAGCATTGCTTCGATGGATAAAGTCCTAGATAAATTATCCACCACTATGCCAAGATCAACTTCTTTACTCACGTTATTCAGTATGTTTCCATCTATATTAAAGGTGTGATCCAAATTATGATATTAAAAATGCATTACCTTGCACTGACTATAATTAAAGATAATATTTGTCCAACTTATCAGTCGATCCAAATCATTCTATAATACTTCAACATCCTCAGTACAGCTAGAAATATCCAATTGTCTAATAGTGTCATCATCAAACTTTATTAAGTATGCCCCTATCAATACCAATGAACATTAATGCAAATAAAAACGCGAAGATCCAGGCACTGACTTCTGAGTCAACAATTTTATTCTTATGATTTTAATATAAAAAAAATAAATTTCGCCTACCTAGCATTAACTTTAAAATATTTCGTTTTCAAAGTTAACCAGAAGAATTGTAACAAAAGATATTTCTTCCTTTTCGTACGGGATAAAAACTCCCTATATTATGCCTGAAGATTACCGCGTGGGGCAAGGCATGAGCAAGTGTGTTCAACATTGAATGGCCCGCCTTTTCCGGCATCTCTCTGAGCGTGACGTAGATAACGGTAGAGGCAAAGAGCTGTTCGTTGTGTTATGCACATGCACCGTAGAACCACCCGTACACACTACCGCATTCCGAAATAAGACGAGTCTATTAAACGTAGGGAAGGTTCGTGCATAGTATTTTAGGGCTGGCGATGCACAGCAGCAGAGACCCACAAGGAATAATGGCTACCATGAGGTACCACCAGGCTTAATAAACTTGTTCTACCGGTGCTGGGATTGGCTTTCCGATTACTATCTCTGTAAGAGTACCGTTATTCCTGGCACTTTCCGTATACAGGTTACTGAAACGACCTTTATGTTCTGACGCTGCGGCCTTGCGTAGTTACAGCTATACTCACCGTTATATTGTTAAGAAGCTGGACACTTTGTTGTTACCAATAAGAAATCAGTGTTGTCTGGTGTTAAACAAGAACTGGCTCGTGAAATTGGGGGTTATGGATGCTCCGAAGTTTACTTTAACATTTTGAATGCAGATTTTACTAGTGCTGATTAGATCACTGATTTATCTGTCTGTCTTTTTCCCCAATGAGCAGAGGTGTATTTAAATATGAATTTTGTTACGAACAACTGAAAACTGTTAAAATAAGATCACGTAAAAGCATTAATTATTAGTAACTGCAGGTTAAAGTAAGCTAACTAACTATCCAGACGAAATCTTAAAAGTAATTTATAAACTACTGAAGCCAGTTGCATATAAAAAAACTGACAATAACTGAAAAATTCGAATGCTAAAACGGTACAATGTAGGGAAAATGAGTAGCATATTTAAAGTTCTCTGGAAGATAAATGTTTAAAAGATAAAACAAGCCTTCGAAATAAAACTACAAAATGACATTTTTGAAGAAACTTTTAAATTTTTCTTTCCCTACAAGTAGCATCAATATATTCATTTCACATGAAAACTTTTAACTACTGTATGTTTTATTTGGCAAATTTTAAGTTGCAAAATCTCCCCCCCCCCCCAGTGACTCGGCGATAAGTCTGAAGGCTTATAACGCTAGAAATTGAGTTTCGATACCCTTTGTGGGCAATGCACAGCTCGCACATTTTGTAACTTTGTGACTTAATAACAAACAAAAGTATTTTAGCTTCAAGAAAATACAAATTCTTTTCATCTGACAAGAACTGACAGAGATTGTTTTAAGATAAGTTACA